ATGCATTAATGTTTCTGGGCTAAGCCCCGGATATCCACTCACTGTAGAACTGCCCCTGGAATCAAACCCATTATTTCAACACTTTGCTCTACTGATTGAGAATGCATTGTAAAAAATGGAGCTTTAATAATTTGAAAAAATTTGACTAATTATGTACCTTCCTTCTAGGTGCGTTCAGATATAGTATATAACGTTTTTATTAACGTCAATGTGCATACAGCACCAACAAGTTTGACAGTTGAGGCAAATTCTGTAAACACTGCTTTGAAAAATAATGTTTTTTTCTTGTGCTTGCAGGTTCATTCAGACAGTCAACATTTGTTGCACCAAATGCATTGAAAGTCACAGATCAGCTGGAATTTTGGAAAGAGGGTGCAGCCTGAATCAAATCCTGCTGTTTCTCATCGGAGAGCTTGTCAACTGTTACTGTCAAAATGACTCATTTTTACTGTATTTTATTTACACTACCAGTCAAAAGTTATTGAACAGTAAGATTTTTAATGTTTCTTAAAGAAGTCTCTTCTGCTCACCAAGCCTGCATTTATTTAATCCAAAGTACAGCAAAAACAGTACAATTTTGAAAAATGTTTACTATTTAAAATAACTGTTTTGCATTTGAATATATTTTAAAATGTAATTTATTCCTGTGATCAAAGCTGAATTTTTAGGATCATTACTCCAGTCACATGATCCTTCAGAAATAATTCTAATATTCTGATTTGCTGCTCAGAAAACTATTTTTATTATTATTGGTATTATTATGTTGAAAACAACGGAGTATCATTTTTTAAGGTTTCTTCGATAAATAGAAAGTTCAGAAGAACAGCATTTATCTGAAATAGAAATATTTTGCAACATAAATGTCTTTATCATCACTTTTGATCAATTTAAAGCATCCTTGCTAAATAAAAGTAGTAATTTCTAACATTTCTTTCCCAAAGAAAAAAATTATACTGACTCCAAGCTTTTGAATGGTATAGTGTATAATGTTACAAAAGCTTTTTATTTCAGATAAATGCTGATCTTTGGATCTTTCTATTCATCAAAGAATCCTGAAAAAAATTTACTCAACTGTTTTAAATATTGATAATAATATTAAAAAAATGTTTATCAGCATATTAGAATGATTTTGAAGGATTATGTGACACTGAAGACTGAAGTAAAGGCTGCAGAAAATTAAGCTTTTACTATATTTTTGATCAAATAGGCTTGGTGAGCATATGAGAATTCTTTCAAAAGCATTCAAAAAATCTTAATTCTTCTAAACTTTCAACCGGTAGTTTATATATAATATAAAATATATATTTATCAAGGCGTTATGAAGAAAAAAAAATACTGTAATATTGTTGTTGTGATGATGATGATTACTGTAATAGTATTGATGTAGTACCATCTCAAGTCCATAAACCCCTTCATTGTGGGGTCCTAATTTTTCTTTTCGTACTATAACATCTTTAAACAATCTTGTTTATGGGTGTGTTTCTGCACTGCTTCGAGGCAGTGTGGTCCTGCAATTAGGAGCTTGAAGCTGAAGGCAGCAGGGTTGGGTGAGGGGATTCGGG